CAAAAAAGAATGATTTGCAAATGCTCTATACGTTATATGTGGCGCCCTCTACGCCATACATGAAATTTATCAACATATTTGAATTTTTTATACTAAAAATCCCTGTACCTATACAAATTTTATAACGTCACGTTTTTATCAATAAATAGTGAAGAAAATTGAACATAAATTATTAACTTTGGCGCCCTGTATCTCTGTAATTATCAACATTTGTACTTAGGTAAGACAAATTGATCTATTTTCACTTCAAGAATTTGTGGTAGAATTTTGTACAAACTGTTCGGGGACACCCTGTATTTGGATGTCTATCTACCAACATGCTTTGAGTTGAGTGACATATGCCTTTTTTTAGCCACTGAATGTTGGTGAATATCTGACTTGTAGTTACTATTTTTATGTCTTCTGATTTTCGTTGTCACACTTATAATCCTGTTTGAAAAATCGGGCATAACTCCAATTTTATAGTCTTAAAATTAAGTAAAAAATACACAGAATAAAAGCCTAAATTTATGTATTTGTAGAGGTCGAGCGTCATATTGTTTATAACGAAAGAAAAAAAAAATGCTTTTTTCAGTTTTTCGCTTATATCTCGGAAAATAAGCCTCTAATCGACATGAGGTATACTTATCATTTTCGTTCCTGAGGAAATTTGCTGCAAGGATAGGCTTTTGCGAAAGCTCGCAATTTTTTTTTTACATTGCAAAATTAGCGGTGAAGAAAAAAATGTGTAAAATTTTCAGCATTAAATAAAAAGAACAAAGACTGAAAATTGATGAAACTACAGGAAAAGATAACTGTTGGGGTGCTCAACAAATACCCGCAATCCGGACCCCCAATTTCAAAATGGCGGCCTACTGCAAAATTATAGTCGAAAATGCGAGCACGTACCTATATCTTCTGCCCAGGTCAAGATATCGAAATCGATAAAAAAGGATCAAAAGGTGATTAATGTACGCGTTTGCGTAAATTTCAGATTTTTAAGTTGCAAAATAAAAGTTACCAAAAAACAAAAAAAAAACGGTAACTAGGGTCCTTGTGTCGGTAGTTTTTTAATATAGAGATTTCAAAACTACATCAAACAGTGCTTAAAAAAAAACATGAATTTTAAAAAAAGCGTCTCGATCTGACCAATTTTGTAATAAACTTGGGCTCGTAAAGTAGAAAACTTCCTTTATAAGCTGAATTTTTTTTAATGGATTTGACCAAGAAATGACCAAGTAAATGTGCAAAAGATTTGGATTAGGCCCGATTTTTGAAAAAGAACCTAAATCACCCGGACTATCATACTACAACATATACGACTTCACTCGCGAAGAAAAGCCTATAATCTACAAAGTATATGTCATCTTAAAATCACTTCTGGCGATTATGTTGATGAATGATCTCGGTATAAAGGCATCAATTACTAATGACATTTAAGATATGACATTTACTTTGTAGGTTATATCTCACCGACACTCACAAACATTAGTAGATAAACATCCAAGTAGCTACAGTCTGACCAATTTCAGATGGCTGGTGGAATACGCAAAACTGAGAGCACACAATTCATAAAAAATGTAAAGGATCATGTGGTGGGAAATAAAGTACAAAAAAGAGAATAAGCGAAAATTGGTAAAAACGCTTGATGTATTTCCTACTACCTTTAAATGAATTAAATATGTATTTATTTATTATTACTTTTTGTGAGAACATACAATATTCTTTAGCTACTCTCCGAGTTCCAATGATGAAATGAGTTCCGCGGGACCTTCCTGCACTTTTCCACGAAGCATCCGGCCTTCACTGGCCAGATGAAATAAGTTGAACTGTAAATTGTTTATCAGTTGTGTCACCTATGACATATTGATGAGAACTAAGTTCGAAACTGGTATGTGCTTGTTGGTCCTACTGACGAACTATCTTGGCTGCTTACTAGATGTTAGGGGTGTAATTCAATGCTGGACATGGCATGGAAAATGTTTCAAATAAATCCTTGAAAATGTTATAGGATTTTTTAAATTTGACAACTTTCAATAAATTTCTAGATGCTATTTTTTGAAAAGCTATCATTTCGTAATAATGAACGAAGGGATTGACAATGGGTAGCACAAGCTCTGTTTTAATTTTTTTTTAATCAAGTTTACACAAGAGATGGTTGGCATACGCGAATACTTTAAATATTTTAAAAAATTATTACCATTTGTCTTCAAAAAGAAGTGCTTATAAGGTAAGACCACTGTATAATTTTCAGAAAATTATTATTTTTTTATTGATTTAAAAGATGCTGCAACCTTATCCCTTACATGGGTGTTGGTCCGTTGACTATTTTATTCAAGACAGTGGAGAAATATAAAATCGCCTTTATTTACGAGCACTCTGCTCGAAACATTTAAACAGTAACTTTTACATAAAAATAATCTTAATCTACGTTCTGCTTGAGCTCCAAACAGCCCAACTACCAACTTTCATGTCTCAAACCTCTCTCCTCTTTTTCCTTTCAGTCCAGGTCCCTACACTACACCCACGACCTCTACCATAAAAAATCCGCACCATCACTTAGGCAGTCCGTCCACGACACATCACCATATCTACTGCACTCTTACGTACTATGATGCTTTGAACTTTCTAGAATAAGCTTATACAATTTTTTTTTTAATTCTAAGCTCTTTCTTAAGCACGTTGGACTGCTCCGAAACGACTACCTACGGTACATGAATACCTGCCAAAAGGGTAAATACTAACAGATGCAGTTAGAATGAGTTTGTATTCAATTAGAAACATTTTCAAATGAAAGTAAGTTAGTATAGCCTTTATCTCAAAATTTTAAGACGTTTTTCTCGAAACACGATTTTTTAAAAACGGTACACAGCATAACTAAAACAATTTTCATTCTATTCTCTCCAAATTTTGACCATATCTTTAAAATAACATCTGAAGAAAAGTACATATGTGATTTTCGATAAGTTAATTTTAACATTATTTATTGACAAATGATTGCCCCTTTTTATGTTAAAAACTGAACTTTTCACATCAAACATAAAAATTAATGTTTTCAAAATCCTCTACATATTTACAAATAAATATATTTTTTTGAACTCAGACATGGTTAAATATTGTTTTCTTCTTATTTTTTCTTCCATTAAAAAAAAAAAAATCGCAACGCTTTATTTTAAATTTTACAGTGGTATCCCTTAAATAAATAGTAGCATAGAGAGTCACAATATTTTTGCTTGAAAAATCTGCAATTAATTTCTTGATCTATTTTTTAATACCCTCCACCTCGTAAGATATTGTCTGAAATTATTTATTTGTAGCATAACTTTCGTGTTCTTTTTTTCTATTATAGATCGATCGAAATAACTCATTTAGAGGGGAAAAAATGAGAATTGTTACCTGGACTTTTGTAAGTGGAAATGGTAAAGTGGTTCATAATAAAGGAAAAAATAAATGCATGAGCAGGGGTGGCGTAGGGTTGATTTTGGGGGTTGAAAAGTTGTGAAAAATTGTCTCATTGGGATTTCTGGCAAAAGTTGACGTCAAACAAAAAAGTATCAATATAAAAATTGTAGATCATGCAAAAATCTTCAACTTTTGTAGAGGTCACTTTTTAAGACAACTATAAAATTTCCTTTTTTTCTTATTTTTCACAACTGGTTTCGCACATGCAAGAGACTGTTTTTAATATATCTTCAGGCATGATTGAAACTTCTGTAAAGCAAGGTGTGAGTAACTTGGAATTATTCGCATTTACTTCTTTCCAGCCCCACTTGGTTGCAGTTCTTTTGTTTCCAAGCCACATCTGAAGCTGAAAGTATGTTCTATAAGAGTGTTGTGTAGCTACTCCAACAGTTGGTGGTAATTTCTCTAATATAAAAGTAGATTTTTCAGTTAATACTTTGTATTGCTGAAATCTCAAAACATCCTGAGATAATTTATCATTTGTGCATTTGTAATTCGACTTAGATGTTTATAGCAATACTGTACAAAAATAAAGTTTTGGGTCAAACAATGAGACACAGTTTCTTTTGTATTTTTTTCCGTACAATTGAATGGTGGAATCGGTTTTTGATTTTTTTAAAATTTAAACAAATTATCAACAATTACAGAAAAATTCATTGTTGCGTCATTTTTTATTTTTTACATTTTTGAGCATGTTTTTGAACTGTGATTACAGATTTTTTTATTTCAACAAAAAGTATATATCAAAACAAAAAAAATGGTCACCGGCGGAACTCTGTACGATGATTTTTCTAAGTAGAAAAAGTGTTTCAGACCAGAAAAAATGAATATCTCGGAAACTTCTTGATTTTTTTATCTAAAAAAATTTGTCGTTATTTAAGACACAAAAAGGTATACTTTCACCAAGTTTTGTCAAAATTAAATTATTTTTGCAGAAATGAGACATAAAACAAAAAATAAAAAAAAAATAACGGTTTTTCGCATTTTCTTCGGAAATTTTCGTCTTAAAAAGTGACCTCTACGAAAGTTATAGATTTTTGCATTATCTACAACTTTTGTATTGGATTCTTTTTTGTTTGACGTTAACTTTCGCCAGAAATCCCAATGATACAATTTTTCACAACTTTTCAACCCCTCAAATCAACCATCCGCCACCCTTGCTCACACATATTTTTTTTAGATTTATTATAAGCCCCTTTACCATTTCCACTTATGAAAGTCCAGGTAACAATTTTTTTTTCTTCAAGTATAATTTGGTTGGATTATTTTTACAAAAAAATACCTCAACTGATCCTTACGGCATAAGGGACGATGGAAATGGATAATTTTTGCAAAAAGTTTTCATGCTGTTTTATTCATTTTATAAACTTAGATATCAAAATCTTTTAAAATTTTGAAAAATGAAGGTTAAGTTAACAAGGATTTTAATGACTTTATTACGGAAACTGTACGTATCTGCAAAGCTGGCCTAAATCGGTACAACATACTAAAACTGATGACGTCTTGAAAGAATTAAATTTATTTTCACAAATCATACATCACCCAAACAACAGAAAAACCCTGCATGATGCTGAGTGTATCAGTTAGTACTTAATTTTCTTCACACACACCTAAAAAAAATCATAATTACCAAGGCAGTACAGACGAAAATTAATTTTAGAGTAAAATTTCTTTGGTGGTTGAAGAAAAGAATTATTTTGATAATAAATTTATTTAAAATATACATATTTTTATAGCCTACAATTATTCCTTAACCATACTGCTTGCATCAGCCATATCAACCTCTATACTCATACTCATGTCAGGTAATTCATTATTTACACTAGGGATAACGGAACCAGTCTCTTCTGAAATAGTGTGGCTTACATTGGTAGTAGCGCCTTTCGACTCAATGTTAAATTTTGGTATTTCACTCGGGCAATCTGAAACATAACAACGAAAAATAATTAATCAGAAATAAATTAAAATTGGATTGAATTGTTATCAATGTCGTGTTAGGTTCTCTGGATTATTACTAAAGAAAGAATGTCGTGGTTTTCGATTTTTAGAGAAAAACCCGTTTTTAACTAATACCATGGGATGCCCCACTGGCATTGAATTCACTAGCAATATCTAGTAAATAGCTAATAATAAATAACTGTCCAAAATAAAATCTAAAAATGGCATGTCTAAATATAATTGATACAAAAATGTGATATCTTGAAATTTTTACATAATGTAATCATGCAAAGACATAATTTAATGTAATTTTGATATTGCTGGTGTAATTCAATGGTTGGATCATGTAGATCACAGCAATATCAACAGTTAGGAATGTTGTCTGCGGGGTTAGAGACCATTTCAATACCTACATAGATTTCCAGTATCACAGGACACTGTTTGACTTAATTTGATATGACTTTTTAGGAATTTTTTGAATTTATTTCAATTGGCTTTTGTATATTATTTTGAAAAATTGTACTTCCTGTCACAAAATCATTAGAAAGTTCTTTTATTGTAGTTATTTATTATCTATGAAAATATGAAAACTTGACATGAATAATTTTTTTCCTAAATGTGTAATTCTAACTGAATACGTATGCACACAGACAATATAGCCTATCGCTACAGACTGCTACTTAAATGCTGGAAATTGGCAACCCGAAATGGAAGCAGGGTCTCCTTAGCCGGCTTCCAGCTATAAAATTTAGCGTGGTACCTCTTCTACTTGTTAATAGGCGGCAGTTCCAGCGGTGGCTTTGTTGCCAAATAATAACTGCTAAATAAACTTAATGCTTTCAATTATGTAATTAAAGAGATAAGGAACTTATCTTGTGTTTGGAAATCACATTTGCCTTAAATGTTAAATAAAATAAATCAAGTTAGAATTAAAACTATGAATTTACCTAATTAATTATTTATTTTGTCACCTTGGAATGGGAAAATTCAAAAACTCGAAATTAATTTTTTTAGATTTGTGCGTCGACTTCCAATATGGTACGATATTAACACCTATGTTTAAAAAAATTGCATTATACAGGTTATGTATCCTTAGAAGGATACTGCCTCTTATTCTTGATTTCTTTAGATAGGTAAAATAATTATTGTCACAAGTGTTGCATATCATGGATGTCATTGGTAGTGCTCATATTTGTGACACAAGGTGTTCAAAAAAATTAACACAATGTAAAATTGCTGGAACCTCAAAGAGTAGTTGAATACGAAATTTATTTAAAAAAAAAACAACAAATCCAATCAATACAGAGATAAGATAATGCGTTCACTACTGCTGTTGCAATTTTTGACTAACTTTTTTGTTTTTTGACATACTGACTTCGGACCGTTTCCATTCAACGCAGAACGCACAATCAGAACCAGAGTGGTGGGGAGATTTTTTAATTAATTTTCAATTCAACACACCGTTTCCGAATTATAAGACCTTTTTTACTGTATCACCTCACACACCTCTTCTTTCTGAAATTTATTTTTCACATACGGACTTCGGACCTTTTCCATTCAACGCAGAACTGTCACACAGAACCAGGGGCGTGGGGAGAATTTTTCAATTAGTTTTTCGATTTAACGCACCGTTTCCGAGTTATACGGCCGTTTTACTATAACACGACATACCTCATTTCCAAAATTTATTTTCGACATACGGACTTCGGACCTTTTGCATTCAACGCAGAAGAAACATACAAAACCCGGGAGGGAGGGGTTGACATTTTTCAATTATTTTTTCGATTCAACGCATCGTTTCCGAGTTATAAACACTTTTTTATCCTATGATGTCACACACCATTGCTCCCGATTTTTTTTTTGACTTGCGGATTTTGACGTTTTTCACTGGTTCACCATGGGAGATTTATTTGTTCACCATGAGAGATTTTTTGATACTTAGAGTCTAAGCAAATATTGTTTTTTTTTCCAACCAAGGGGAAATTTGTTTGTATTTCCAGCCATTTCCGAGTTACGAGCAAAAAGCGTTTTTTTTTCTTATACTGTGTGACATCATAAATCGATAACGAAGGCTAAAAGGCCACGCTCCCTCCCTAGGTGTCCTGAAATTGCTGAGGAGCTGAAGACAGCAGAGAGAGAGAGAGAGAGAGAGAGAAGCTCTCTATGAGGACAGAGTCACTCTATCTCCATGAGGACAGAGTCACTCTATCTCTATGAAGACAGAGTCACTCTATCTCGTACACAATCAGATAAAAACGACAGAAACGAACCTTCTTTTAAAAATACATGGGATTTATCATTATTAGAATAAGCCATTTTAATTTAAAAAATTAAAAAAATTACAATGAGTTATTCTGATGACGAAAAATAAAACATAATTAACTGTATTATTCATATAACAATAATGTGCAAAAATTCTTCAGGAATATTGGCAAATTTACTTTGGAGGAAGAATCCCGTCAACGAACACTAAAAAATACAGGGTGGGCCACCAGTAACGCCTCGCTCGCGAGTGACCAAACGGCAAATGTTACAGAAGCCTGTTTATGTGGGTATGTGTAGGTTGATTACGGCTATATTTTAAAAATATTTTGAAATATACAGGGTGTCCAGGAAAAGCTTACCATATCAAAGTTATGTTTTTTTAAATGGAACACCCTGTATTTTACTGCATTTTTGAAAGCACCGTAAAAAAATAGGTGAACTTTATTAAAGGTTCTGCATACCTAGGACTTACAGTTTGTGAGATATTTCAATTTTAGTGAAAATGCAGGCATAGCGTAGAAATTTAATATTAGCAATAAAAAAATAATTTTAAGGAAGCAGCTTTGGAGGGT